AGGCGATAATGAATGGAATCATCATCGAGTCGATTGCTGCCGATCGTGCGGTTGGTTGCTTCGAATCGGATAGCGTTTTTAAACAGAAACGCGAGAACTGCGGACGAGTGCACAACACTACAGCGCTCTGTGAACAGACATCGGCTAATTCATAATTTAATAAGCAGAAAAATAAATGTTTGCTCGTCGTCATTTAAGAGTAAAACAAAAACACAAAATACGCAATCGTATAACAAAAAAAATATAAATACTTCTGAAGAAACCTCAGAACAACAAAAATAAAAAGAAAAAAATAAAATAAAGATGAAAAATATATTTGCGAACGAATGAATGGAAGTTTTAAAATTCAATTATTATCGGTTGACTCACATTCGTTGCCGGTTAGTATCGCGTCGATGCATATTTTATAGACATACACATTTCAGCAACAACAACAACGAGAAGAAGACGAAGGATCGTAAAATCGAGGTAGTGAGTGAAGTGCCATAATTTTTTTACAACACCTCCAAGTGAGGACCACCAACACTTCGTAACATTAATTCGTCGTATAAACTTGATAGTGATAATATTTGCAAACATACGATCGATCGACCGGTCGGTTGGTTGTTCGGTCAGTAAACCCCTAAAATATTGCCTAGAGCAAGTCTGAAATTTTATGTTTTTAGAAATTTGAAAAAAAAAACAAAAACAAACAACGGTGAATATCTCTTAACACCCCCACAACAACAAGCATCGAATCTCAGTGTCGTCTAGCTGCTTATGGCTGGCAATTAATTTTGAAAACGTGATCATCAATTTGCCAAAAACAAAAAATACAACAACATCAATATAAACAAAGCAAACTGTGATAATGTGCAATACAACAACGGAAAGGCGGTGAATTCTTTTCATTTTACACAACAACAAAAAAGTAAATAAAAATCCATTGGCAAATCGTTGTCATTTTCTTGTAGGCGTCTTCGTCGTTGTCGTCAAAATACTCAATGCAACAAAATATATTCCCAAAACACAGTGAAATGAAATACCTATCTATCATTCGAAACCCTAATACAGTTGTTTAACGATTCCAATAACACGACAACAACAACAACATCAAAACAACATAATTAAACAAAAAGTGCATTAATTTTTCTGGTTGTTTGTTTGTTCGGAACTCTTGTCTACAGATAACTCCGAAATCGCTTTTGCCACCACGGCGATCGAACGTAAAAGTCAATAAATTCAGCGTTGTTCGCTGCTCGTGGAAGCTAAAGTTAAATAAATAAACGGCGATCGAACCAAGCAGGCAAACGACCAGCGACCGTCAGCCAGCCGGACAGACATTCAGTCAGTGAACAAGAAAGCTTCTTTCGACTTGAGCAATTCATTAGATCCACCTGTCATCTAGCGCAGCTATCAGCTTGATGCTGTTTGTTGTTATTGTTATTTCGTGAAATTACAACAGCAATAATTACAAAAACAAAAGTAGCTACCATTCAAAGATTAAAAAAACCAAACAAACAAAAAAGCAGCAACGACAACAAATTCAGCTACTACTACTAAACAAAAACAACAACAGCAAAATTTCAAGTGTAACATGCAAATTTATAAAATTTTAATTGGGTCGTCGTCATCGCCATCGATGTCTGTCTGTCTGACTGCTGCTGTTGTTGTCATCGTTGTCTATGCACTCAGTCAGTAGTCGTAGATGTTGTCGTGACGTGGTGCCATAGATGCAGTGACATTTGTGTTTGTCGCCGTTGTAGTTGTAAGCAAAAGTGCGTAACTATTCACGAAATGCGTTAAATTTCCATGAGAAAAATCTTTCGTCGGAGGCATCTGAAAATTGCGCGAATCGTTCAAGTCCAAGTGGTGGCCAATGTGTATGTAAAAATAAAAAAAAACATACTTTTGTAGTTCAATAGTGTGGTTACAGTGGGTCAATATGAACAATTGATTTTTAATGTGTACGATAAAAGGACATTGGCATAATCATATTGTTGAGAAGTCGGTCACATAATTAGCAAACTTGCGTACAAACATGTTAGGCCTAAAAGAGTTTGGAATATAATAAAAATATTTTTTGCACGAATTTTGTATTAAATGTGTCAAGAGAAATTCTTTAAAAAAAAATCATTATTTTTTTTAATAAATTCAGTTACCCTTATTTCCATATTTATGTAGGTATAAAATAATTTCGGTTTTTAATATAATTCTGTATATCGAGTATTCCTAAAATCCCCTTTTGACATTATATTCATGCTACCAGATTTTGAAAATGAAAATATATGAAAAAAAGAAAAACATATATGTTTTAATAAAAATAATAGTATGTGTATAAACGTACATTTTGATATACTTATAAATATATAAAATAAGTTAAAAGTGCCAAATTTTTAATACTAAGCGAATAATCTTGGGACAGCAAAGAAGTAGACCTATGTCGACTAAGATAAGATATTTTGCAACCCATAGGACACAAAGAATAGTATATTACATTCACTTTTGAAGGCAAATTTTTGTAAAATAGATGGGTTTCTGTATATTGGGGACACCTAGAAACATATAACCCAAAATATCAAATTACAATTCTGTAGCAAAACTTGTTCAGGAACTCTAATAATACCAAAATTTAATAATTAATAATTTCTTAAAGGAATTTGTTACCCAATTAGAACTCAAAATATAAAATAACAGATAATTCGGTTGGCAAATGGGTCTAAAAATACTGAAAATAACGAAAATACATTTTCTAAATATTTCACAGGAATCTCTAAAATGTATTAATTTGATTTACACAGCAAATTTAATTTACAAATATAAACATTTTATTTATTATCTTATTAAATTAAATCTACATAAATTAAATGATATATTTCCAGAAACTATGTATTCGAGCTTTGACAATATACCCAGCCAAAATTTTTCCGATATCGGTCCAAATATCTGAACAAATTGTCGATTCTGATGGCGAATTCGTTCCGATTTCCGTACAAAAGTTGTATGGACGTGGTCACCGAAATCGGAAAGATTTTCGGAAGGAATTTGAAAAAAATATTAGAGTTTTCAAGTTATTAAGATCCAAGATATTAAGACTTTCTGACAGAAATTGGGCCGAATCCTGATTTAAAATTAAGATTTTGTGAATGAAAAATCTAGAGAAAATAACAGTTTTTCTATTTTTTCAATTTATTTTTATTTTTTTGTAGGCATATTTAAAAAACCGCATATATAATTTTAAAATAACAGTAATTAGAAATGTCCAGGCGAATCCAATTTCTGTTTTTCTTTTAGTATTTTTTTTAAAGAAATGGTGTAATTTATTTATATTAAAAAATCGAATATGATCAGGAAAATATCCAGAAATTCTTAAAAAAACCCGGTACAATTTCTAGAACTATTTTCCAAAAACGAACTCGGAAATTTTCTAAAAAAAAAACCCTCGGAAAAAATTTTTAGCTAGGTATATATAGTATATTTTTTATTCAAAATAGTCTGACGTAATCCCAAATTGTTGTTTTTTTAAAACATCTATTATGATAATGTTATGATTACCCATTTGTAGTTTTTTACACATATTTTCTTAAGATGGTTCTTAATCCTTCCGAACATGGTTTTTTGTTGAGAAATGGTCGCCCTTTCTGTTATTTCTTTTCTTATTCACATTTAATTTTTCTCCAATTTATAAAAAAGGCAACTACAAAGGATTATTTTTTCACATATGTGCCGTACGCCTATGATGGGTAATGGTATTTATATATAATTAAATATAAATACAAACAAATCTAGAATACAAACACAAGTTCAAATAACATCATTTACTAAAATATTCCATTAAATTGAGTATAGCGTACATTTGCATATTTTTAAAGACACTTCGATCGTACTTAAATTAAACCATCATAATCAGGATTCTTGTGCATTTATATCAACTCGTACACACTTTGTATTCCAACATTTAGGTTAATATTATTCCCACTGTTACAATTGTGTGTCTCACAACTTGAACTCACTGCCAATTGCAGTGGTCTAATGTCTCATGTTGTGGAGACACTCTTAAATGTGTCTCTTGCCCGGACAAGGTACAACGTCATTACCACATCCAAGTAATTAATAAATGAACGTATTTAAAAATGCGATTAAGGCAAAAACAAACATCAACAAAAAAAAATCGAATGAAAAATACAAGCACTTCTACTCGAACATAAATTTAACGTTTAATTGACATTATTAACACTCAATTGACAAGAATATTATTGAGAAGCTGCTACAGTGACGTGGTAATTTTTTTATTATGTAAACAAATTATCCTGTATTATGTTTTTTTATTATGTAAACAAATTATCCTGTATTATGTCAAAATAACTGTTAACGAATACCTTATACTGACAAACAGACAGATTCGTGTTATACGGAAGTTGTATTTTATTCTTAGGTGCCATGACCCACATTATAATTTCGCTAATATCCCATTGAGAAAATCTAAGTAAAACGCCACTGTTAATTGCCATAAACCACTCAACACTACAACCACCACCACCACTTTTTCCATGCGAATCGCTCCATCTGCCTTTCAAGAAAAATAATAAAAAATATTAATAATCATTTGTGAAAAAAGAGCAAGAATACGAGGCTAACAACAAGCTTCTCTGGCGCGAATATAAGCGTGCAGAATTTCTAAGAATTTTCCAAAATAAATTCTATATTTTTAGCATACTAAAGATTTTTAAGATTACCATTTAACAAGAAAACGAAGTGAGAATGAAAAGAATGAAAAAAACCAGTGAAGGTGTGAAAAAAGTGAAAATTATATTAAAAAATAAAAAACAACAAATGAAATTGTATTCAACAACATAGAAACGAACGTAATACACAGAAAAAAACAACTACATCTACAAAAAATTAACACATACGCACGCCGAAAGGAAATACAATACCCAAGAACATAACCGACATCAAGAGCACACAGCAGCCACATCACATCAAGGCACAACATGAAACTGCAACCCCACCTTAGGAAAATGTTTAACTTTCACACGCTCACAATCCTAGTGTGGTGTCTAACCCTAATGCTGTCCTCCCGCCCCACACATGGTCTCCTAGAGGAACAAAGTAATCACACTGTTAGCAATCACAGTCTTCATGGCCATCATCATCGTCATCATTATCCTCGTCAGCAACAGCACAGTCATTATCACCATACCACACCTAGAATAGTAGAAGAAGAATCCACCACAAACACACCTCTGTCGCTGATGGATGATAATGCGATCACCAACAAAGAAGATGACGAGCTTCAATTTTCCAGAGATATAACATCGTGGAGTTCCAGCACCTCAACTCCAGCCCGACACCATCACAACCATCGGCGGCATCACATGCCTCAGCAACTGAACAAACATCCAAGTCAAAATGGACATTTAATTTTAACCTCAGCCAGTTTATCATCGCCGACATCAGCGGCCTCAACGTCCTCCAAATCATCGTCCTTTTCAAATTTCATATTGGAGCAGCAACAACACCACCACCACAACCATCACCAGCCACAGCCCCAAGAATCATCATCGCCAACGACCAAGAGATTAGTCCCAACACCTTTACCGCCACTGCCGTCATATTTCTTATCAGCGACAACGCAAAAATACAATCGTCCAGCCAACAATGGCGACGGTGGCGGCAATCAAAGGCGGCTGTCGTCTTCCAAGGCGGCAGAAGTTGCAAGTCCTGCGGAACGATCTAAATTTAGCACTCATAAAGCTGGATCATTGGAGCGAGACAATTACAACAGACTGCACCATCACCACCACCATCAAAAGCATCTCCAGGCGCAGACGAAACATTTGACAATGAAACGAGACTATGACGAAGATGATTTGCAAGGGCGAAACACACGAACCCAGCAGGATGATGGTGATTATTACGATGAAGATGACAACGAGGAGGTTGACAACGAGGAGGAAGATGATATTGACGGCTTCATAGATGACACTGATAACAATTTAAGTGATCGTTCTTATGCCCGAATAACTCGTTCGAAACTAGATGTAAGTACCTATCAATATTGTTGTGGTTTTCTGTTTGTGTTTTTTGCTATTTTAGGTTTTCTTACAGGGTGAGTCATAAGTTATGTGGCAAAAGTCCACAATTTGTAATAAGAAGATAACGATTTTTAGAGGTAGAGTAGACACAGAGATATACATTAATAGGAGAAACAATATTTATCTGCATAATTGATAATCTATCCAGTTTATCCATTTACTTTTAAAGCACTCTGTTAGTTGAAAATATATGCATGTATCCCCACACTATTTCATAGTTATTCCGACATTTTAATTTAATCATTGGCATTTCGGTTGGTCTTTATGAATCATAGTTACCTGTCGACCGTAAATATATTCACCTTCTTTACGACGAAACATTGTAAGCGATGACAGTTAATATTAAAAAAAAAACGGGCAGGCGGCAGGCAGACCACCAGACATGACCGACCATACGTTCGGACATGCAGACTAGAAGCAGGAAAACAACAAATAAAACAATTTGAAATTGCTGTAGTACATTATATTTAGCCCGCCTGCTACTGTTTTTTTTTTTTTTGTAATACAAAAAAAAATCATAGACAAAAAAGGAATGTGCTTTTTGTAGACAAAATATTCATATCCTCTGTTGTGAGACACAGTGGGACAGGCAATGCTTTATTTTTTAATAAGTAAATAGCCCACAGACAACGAGGAACAAAACCCAAAATAATTCATGCGAACAGAATTTTGTTGGAAATTAAAATATATTCCAATATTCCATATATATCTTAAATGAAGAGAAGGAACTCATCATTTTAGATTTTTTCGGACATATTAATATTTCTACCAAGCTATGTTCGTGTGTAAACTTCAGTAACTATAAAAATACAAACATTTCAATAAATCTCAGGAAAACCAAACGAACCAAAAAAGTTTGACTTAAAAAGGTCAACTATGTATTTCGTTGCTAAAATGAATACTCATATTTAATACTCCAACGAAACTCGTACCCTTTGTAACCAGTTAGGATTTTTTGGTTTCACACAAGTCCCCAAAAATAAGAACCTTAATATATCCACCAAATTAAGGTAACATTCAATGATGGACTGTATCGTCACAAATCTGCTGGCCCCTTTCCCCAGAAACTACCAAACTCACTCATTAAGAGAAAAAAAATCATGAAATCTACTTTTCTGACGACTGCGATCCTAATGATTTAACAGAAAACCATTCGGTCATTCACACATGAGTTATCTCAATTTTTATTATTTGTAGGACCAATGTGCACCAGTAGAATAAATCCCTTTCGAGATTGTATACAACCTGTCACAAATGTTAACTCGTTATCTGTTATTTATTGTTGCAAATGTATAGGGAAATTTACTATGTTAATAGGAACAGTAGCGATATAAGACAAACCACAAATAGAAGAAGTGAGCGGATAAGTGTGGCCGGACGTTGCCGACCATATGGTACCATACACAACTTACACTGAGCTCTAAAGTTCTGCATATCTGTATTCCTAGACTGGGTAATATTTAGCGATATTTACACTCTCTTAACCGATTAGAAGAAGTCAACAGGTCCTCTGTGGCATCTTTTCCGAATCATGTTTTCGGAGTTAAACAATTATTTCATAAGATTTAACGTTTCTTATTTTACAACCGCCAACCGTTCGTTATTATGACCGCGTTTCGAATTAGTGGCTCAGGTCGGCTTCCCCGTAGACAATTTGTGTTTGTTCGGCTTGTAATTGTGGCATCTAGAGCGACTGCAAAACCAAACAAAAAATAAATGGTCAGACCCCTTTCTGCGCACGATATCTCTCGAAGGGAATAACTGATGTCATTAAAATTTTGCATATGATAATATTTATCCCAAACTTAGTTAAAGTTCGAAGATGGGGAATATCGGTCCAAGCCTTCTGGTAACTCCCCCTCCCAAATTATCAACATTGTGTTAAACATTAATTTTATAATACCATGCAAAACGGACTATCCGATTATCTTTACAAACTTAGATCAAGTACAACGATTAGACATATTTCCAATATTTGTAAATACAATTTCAGCGAATGATGTGTTCGATTTGAAACAAATCTTGCACAAACTATTATCTTCACCAAGCCTAGATGAAGTCCGAAGATGGAACGCCATCAAAATGTTCAATATTTATAAATCTAATACCAGGCGAATGGAATGTTCGATTTGAACCAAACTTTTCACAACCTATTACATTTATCAAGCCTAGATCAAGTAGGAAGATGGGACCCATTGGTCCACTCTTTCTGGTGCCTCCCCACAAATGGCCAAAACTTTCAATATTTATAAATTGAATATTGGGCGAGTGAAATGTCCAATTTGAAACAAGCTTTACACAAACCATTACTTTACCAAACCTACTCAAAGTTCGAAGATGATACTCATTGGTCCACTCATTCAGGTACCTCCCTACCAATTTATTTTAACAGACACATGTTCATCTGTATGTCGTCCGCCCATCTCAATTGACATAAGCACTTTTAATTTTAATTCGCATAACAATGGTAGGTCTTCTAAAAATCTTCGCTATTAAAAAATATGTTAGGGTTTCAACATTTCCTACCGGTGTAACTGATTTTTGGTCTTATCACATTAAATTAGAGATCTTGGAATTAACATATTCCCAAAAATTAATTCTTCTTTATGGTGAAGGCCTTAACAACCTAAATTTAATTTCTCCTTATGAACATCTGTAGTATAAGTCTGACATGACAAGTAGAACCAAGAGAGAGAATGATATTTTATCCCAAACCATAAACTCTAAACCGCTTCGTATTTGTATTTAAATTTAATTAAATTTATAAAAAAATGAAATTTTACGCAAAAATGCTTTATTCTATTTTCATTTCACTCAAATCTAAGTATCTACAAAATATCTTACCCCTGCTTGTGAACTGTTGCTGGCTGATATACAAAATGTATTCGAATGGCTGATGTTTATTTTATAAAACGTATTATGTTTATTTTAATGAATAGTTTTTAAAAGCAAAATCATTTTTAAATGGCGTGTAGCACGAGTCTAAAGAAAATAAATTTTGTTGATTTATTTATATCTTAAAAAAAATGGTTTGGCAAATATTCAAAATTGTTGATAATAAACATACACACCTTTGAAGAATGTTGGAATTATTTGCAGAGTTTTTTTCTTTCTATATTATATAAAAACAAAAATATTTTATCAAAATCTGTGGAAGAAAGTATTTAAGATAATCCTCTGCAAGAAAATAGATAAAAAATTAAATTGATATTCACTTTCAAACACTGTGCAGTGGGCTGCTCAAATTTTCCATATATACGGTTTTACAGGTGCAAACACTTGTTTAACAATTCATAGAGGCAATTCAGACAAAAAAACATAGTCCCCTCTCCTATTCATGACAAAGCTGATATAGATGAAGATACGACAAAGAACTGTGAGTTGTTAATTGCAATGAGACTTCTTTCGGATGTATTTAACAAATTGCCATCATGTTAAATGGGAGGAGGAGGACCGCCAATGTGGTGTTTATACATTTTCAGAAAAATCATCTTCCACCGACTAAATTACAGCACACACACCATCGAAAGATCAACATTCCGTTCAGATTCCCTAGGAGTCTGAAGATGTTTCATTTTTAATGTTCCACAACAACCAAAGCGTAAACACATTCTCATTATTGTAAATGGAGTTTTTGTTATTTTTTTACACTTTTTTATTACTTCATATTTTGCAGTTGTTCGTTTTTGTGAGCTACTTTGGCACTGCGATCAGTAATGGAAATTACCAATACCAATATTAAACAATAAATTTGTTTAATATTGGCTGTAGCCATAGGTTTTTAGGGGATTTTTTCTTTTTTTATTAATTTATTTTTTTTTTTTGATATTGTTTTGGACATCTTATGTCACTAAAAGAAGAAGACGAAGCACTACAAATAATCATTTTTCTTTTTTGTTTTTGTAAATAAATGTTGTATGTTTAGTTTAAGGTTTGTGGAAATTGCAACACGTTGCTCTGGTGCAAAACAAGTCCCATGGTTTTACATCACATTGTTGGCTATAACACCCTGTAATGCATTTTAAGTGCGTTCCTTGTGTGAGAGTGTGTGTGATTTTCTTAAGAATGCTATAGATGATTTCATTTTAAAGGAATTTGCACTTCTTTTCAAGTAATAGAGAGAGAATCCATTCAAGTTTAATTTGGTTTGTTGGAAAAATGAATGTGAAAACTTGTTTTTTTATTTATTTATTTTTTTTTTGTATGATGCAATATTTTAGATTACAAAATAGTTGCTCATAAACATTAGGATTTGATATACAACAACATGAATATCTATATATCTATTTAACCCTACGGTCAATAACCAAAAAGGGATGTTCTGGTGTTATGTCAAATGTCTGAAACTTGACACGATTGAATTTAATTCGTAGATGCAATTTCGCAACAATATTCGACATAAATACAACATATAAAGTAACGACACTTGCAAGCCACAATATTCAATATGCCTGATGAGCCGCTTAACCATAGGCTTTCCTTTTCATTGCAAAATTATGCGTAGATCAATGTAGCGCTGCAGTTCATTAAAAATTGGACTATCACGCTGTTTTTATACCCTCCACCACAGTGTGTCATTCCGTTTGTAACTCATCGAAATATTAATTTCCGACCCTATAAAGTATATGTATTCTTGATCAGGGTAATTCTAAGACGATGTAGCCACTTCCGCCCGTCTGTTGTAATCACATTTCTTTTGAAGGAATTGTGATAGGGTATTAAACATTTGGTTCGAAAATGAGCTATATCGGTCCAGGTTTTTAGGTTCTAGAGCGCGTTTTTCAACACATTGGGTTATTATTAGGAATCAAATGGTCATACCAAAAATTATAAATATTGGTCCACGGTACCCCCAATTTTCTGTATTTGGGGTTCTTAAGCGCGTTTTTTCAACGGAATTCGATGAAATTGGTGCATTCGGTTCTTATTGGGTATCAAATCATTCC